TATTATAAAGAAGTCTAAGTTAGTATGTATAAAGGATACTGAGTTGTTAGATTGGATAAAGAAGTACCAAAGAAGAGTTTTGAAATATAATGCTATAAATGAGTATATAAATTCTAAGTTTAAAGACCCAAATGAGGAAATGCAGAGAATATTAGAGAAGAAACACTTCAGAAACAAACAGAAAGAGATAGAATACATTTCGAAGAAATTGCAATCGTACGATTGGAAAACATACCCTCACAGATGTCTTCTTATCTTAGATGATTTCGCCTCTCATCCTTTGTTAAAGAATAGAGAACAAGACATGTGTCGAATTCTTAAGAAGCTCAGACACTTTAACATCTCAGTTGTCATTTGTGTACAGACAGCAAAGAGTTTAAGTAAGGATGTTAAAAGAATACTTACTGACATAATACTTTTCCCCGGATTGTCCGAAGACGATTTCATAGAACTTATGAAAGAGTCCATGGCAGGTAAGTTTGACAGATATGAATTATGGGAGAAGTACAAAGTCATACAAGACCCTCATACTTCTTTCAGAATTCATATCTATGCGAACAAAGTTCAAATTGTAAAAAGTCAAGCTTGAAAAATGTAAGTGTTTAGTCTTAGTAAGTCTGTTGTGGTGCTGGGGCTGTCGGTTCTTCTGGTTGGGATATGGGCTCGGTTGGTGGTACGTCGGACATTGTTCTGAAACAGTACAAGTATTGTTCTGAAACAGTACAAGTATTGTTCTGAAACATTACAAGTATTGTTCTGAATCAGTACAAGTATTGTTCTGAAACAGAAAATTTTTCTCACAAATTGAGAGCTTTTACGGGAAATTTGTTCTGAAAAAGTTCAAGTCTTGTTCTGAAAAAGTACAAGTATTGTTCTGAATCAGTACAAGTATTGTTCTGAAACAGTACAAGTATTGTTCTGAATCAGTACAAGTATTGTTCTGAAACAGTACAAGTATTGTTCTGAAACAGTACAAGACTAGTTCTGAAACAGTACAATGGACAACATCGAGCCATTAGATGAGGCAATTTACCTAATTGAGCTACCTGAGCCATCTGAAGTCAAGCGTAAAAATAAAGAGTGCATTTACTCTACTTGTTTGAAGTTGTCAAAATACTCTGTTATTTTTTCCTTTAACAATGGCAAATCTTCTTTGAAGGTAAGAATTGTACAACCTTTAATATCATAGTGTGTTTGAGGTAACGTATCTTGAACTATTTGTTTCACATCTTCATTTGGGGTCATTGAAATCGGTAAGTTTTCGCGATAGAACCAATTTCTGTCAGATTTGTAAATCTTAGCAAGGTCGTAAAAGCTTTTGTTGTTTCTTCTGACTAAATGCAACATAACCATGTCACTGTCTTCTTCTTTCTCCAACTCTTCAGTATAAATCATATACTTATAGTTCTTTTCCTTTCCTTTTGGTACCGAACGTGGTATTCTTTTCTGTATGCTTTTGTCTTTTGCTTCAATGACTTCATCTTTTGCTTGAAGTTTCTTTTCCATCTCTTCACGTTCTTGTCTATGAATTTCGTCAAGAAGTTTGTAAACATGCCATGCATAACGAGGCGAAGCCCACATTGCAACAGCATTTACAAGAAGTCTATGTACATAATATCCTCTCAAACCATTTGGCAATTTTTCACGATTTTCATAGAGTTTTGGCGAGTAAGATTTTTTACCTACTCGCTTTGCTTCGTCAATGGTTTCAGAAAAAAGTATGTCTCGCTGTGCTTCGCTTAAGAGTTCAATGGTGCTTTGGTTCCTAAACCAGTCTTTAGGAAGCTTAGTGTCTGGAGCAAAACATGCAGTCAAAATACTTTGCATTTGGTACATATCGTCTTTGACCGAACGAATGAGACGCAATTGTTTGTTAAACTGTATGTACTCGTATTCTTCATTTATAGCTTCATGGACTATAACTGTTGTTGTGTTCTCTGTTGTTGACATATCTGTCTTTATATTCCGGATAAAAAAATATTTTATAAAAAACTAACTTTATTTTTTCTATCTTAAGGAAATTCATGATTTTTGTGCTGAATTCAATAAAAATAATGTTTATGTTAGCATGTTAGATCTAACCCGATTTCTAACCACTTTTCTAACATGGTCTAAAACACACAAAACTCATGAATTCTCGTGAATTTCCTTAAGATAGAAAAAATATATTTTATGTTAGCATGTTAGATCTAACCCGATTTCTAACCACTTTTCTACCCCAGTTATTTTATAAGCGTTTCACATGGTAAACGTTATTTTTTAAATTTTGTGAAAACTCAACGGTTTGACACATGCCCTAAAAATTATTTTACTCAGAATTTTTGTTGCTGAATTCGGCAAAAATATATTTTAGGGTAGATGGTTAGATCTAACCCGTTTTCTCACCTAATTTTTCACCCCAGTTATTTTATAAGCGTTTCACATAGTAAACGTTATTTTTTAAATTTTGTGAAAACTCAACGGTTTGACACATGCCCTAAAAATTATTTTACTCAGAATTTTTGTTGCTGAATTCGGCAAAAATATATTTTAGGGTAGATGGTTAGATCTAACCCGTTTTCTACCCTTTTTTCTACCATAAAGTTTTATAAGCGTTTTACATGGTAAACATTGTGAATTCGTGAAATTCTAAACAATTTCGTAGCTTCTATTTCTTCTGTCAGTATGTCAAAAGTTTTCACAATATTGAATGTATCTTTATACTTCTTCTTGACATCAGATAATAGGAAATCGTCAGCAGTTGGATAGTTTTTGTTCAGAAATTCTAACATGTCCATTTTATTTTCTGCTGGTTTCTCTATCTCTTTCTTTAAGTCAGCATAGTCGTTTCGCATCCTTTCTATCTCTTTTACTGAATAGTTATATTTCCTAATTGCTGCTTTACATTTTGAACATTGTGGGTTCATTTTTGCGTTATACATTGAAATAAAACCAGCTAGAACAACTAAGGCGTCAATGGTTTTCTTTAACTCCGAATATGTAGGTCTGATTTGTTCGTTCCATACCTTATTTCTTTTATCTTTATCTCTTATCTGCCATACACATTCAGCAACTAATGAAACAAAGTTGTCGTAGGTCTTAAATTCTTCAGATTTATATATGTCAGAAACATTCTTATATACCATATCGCAGTCTTTGTCCATGACTTTATGGTTGCAATGAAATCCAAGGAACTCATAGTTAACTTTACGTATGAACTTCTTTATTTCTACTGAGTCAGTTGTTTTTACTTCTATTTCATCGAATTCAGGAATAGTGAGCTTTTGTTGTTGGATTTCAGGCAATTTAGGTAGATGTTCCACCAGGTCCTGCATGTCATAAAGATACTGTTCATTTGTTTCATCTTTCGCACTACAGTCTAAATTACTTGTTAAAAGTTCCTGCTTTATTCTTTGTATTTCTGTCTCAAAAGTATATGAAGAAGGAATGAAGCTTTTCATCTCAACTAACATAGATGTTGGATTCATAACTAAAGAGTTTGGTGAAGTTGTTGTTTGAATTGTTGTTGTGCCGATTGTTGACATTTCTGTTCTTTTATACAAAATAAAAAAATAAATAAAAATAAAACTAACTTTATTTTTTCTATCTTAAGGAAATTCATGAAAATTCATGAGGGTAGAAATCGGGTTAGATATCGGGTTAGATCTAACCATCTACCCTAAACATTATTTTTGCTGAATTCAGCAACAAAATGAACGAGGTCAGGATTTCTTGTCAAAATTTTCTGAGTAGAAGCAATTCTAACCACTTTGGTGTCATTGTCTATCTTTCTAACTGTTTCAAACTCAACCTTTAACATTACTGTTCTTACATACAAAATAAAAAAATATTTGATAAAAAACTAACGTTATTTTTCTATCATTAAGAGATTCCGTATGAAAATTCAAGAGGGTGAAAAAACAGGTGAAAAAAGCGGTGAAATCTCACCTCTTCACCTAAATTATATTTTTTGGTCCGGGAACAACTTTCTCAGTAAACCTTAACGTTTAACTTCACTTTTTTATGTTTTTGTGTGAAAGTGCCAAAAATAAATTGTTTTCATGAGTTTTCTACGATGTTAGAAATGAGGGTAGATATCGGGTTAGATCTAACCATCTACCCTAAACATTATTTTTCAATACTTTTTCAGCACTTTTCCGTAGTTATATATGAAAGACAATTCGAGATAAAAGTCATAGTACAATGGAATAATATATTGCACACCATTTGTTGTGAACCAAACTTGAAAGTCAGAGAAACTGTTACTAGGTGGTTCGTAGAATTTAGAAGCAAAGTCATAAAAGTCCTTACCAATACATAGAAAACTATTGTTGCTTGAACTGAAACTTGCATGACACATAACATTTTGAAGGTCAAACACGTTTCTATAAACCATCAAATCTGCTGGTGGAAGTATAAATTTAAATGGACCATCTGGTGGTAATGGTTCGTTCTGGTTTAGTAACCGAAGAAATTGTGCCCAAGAACGTTTGTCTACTTCCCAAAATAAAAACTCTGTACCTCTTGGAGGGTTAATTTCAATCTTTTGAAATGAAACGGCGGAGTTCATCTTGTCATATTCTAGTTTCAGATAGTATGTTCCATTTAGTAAAGAGTCGTATTTTTCTTGAAATTCCCAATAATATTTGTTCATTTGAGTTTGAAAGTCATTTAGAGTTTTTTCAAGACTTTCGTCTGAACGAATTGTAAAGATTTTTATTTCGTCAAATTTGTCTATTAGACCATCAGGACCTTTATACTGCCCATGAAAATATACTGCGAACATAAATGCGTTAGTTCTATTTGAAAACAAAACTCTTCTAAATCCTATTGCCTTTGCATCTGAAGGACTTTGAAGCCAACGAATTGGATAGTCAAACCTGTATGCTCGGGATGAAATTTCTTCATATGAAATAGTCCTACCAGCATTTGTATAGATATAGTCTAACGGTTTTGTATCTGCTACTTTTGTTCTTTGTTTTTCAACCTGAAGCATTTAATATATGTAAAAATATATTGTTTTAAAATGGTATGCCATAGTCTGTAATTTCAATTGTTTCATCTTCTAGTTCGTCGACAAATTCGAATACAATATCTCCAAATTTGCCTTTGTTCTTATTGTTTTCAGAACGAGTGACCCAACGTAAGTTTTCAAGTCTATTGTCGTTTCTTATATGGTTTATATGGTCTACAAAAGGTAAATTGTTAGGATCCAGTATAAAATGAGTTGCAATGACAACATGTTTAAGATAGTGTTTTCCACCCATCTTCATAATAGCATATCCGTCATTTCGCTTAAAACTCTTTTTGTCTTTTTGTTTCTGACTTCAAATGACTCACAACAGTGAATTTCATATTTCTCATCTAACAAATAAGTTTCCCAACGGTCTTCTCCAACAAACTCAGCGTACATTTCAAATAAAATAAAAAAAATGTCACTTTTTTTAAAATAAATTTTTTACTTCATGCAATGTTTTATTTCTGTGCCGTCTTCAAGTATGCCCCAATAATTACGCTTGGAGAGGACATGAACTTCGGAAAATACCTTATCTAGCTTAAAACAGCCCATCTTTTCACCGACCATACCCATTTCAATGAGTTTGTTGTATCCTTCTTCGTTCGTCATGAGTGCGTCAATGTTCTCATAGTAAACCTTGACTTTGGATTTGACTTCGGAGAAGAATTTGTTGTAGTTGTCAAGGACTGCCTTTGCGAACTGAGGGTAAGACCAATGTTCGACAATAGGTTTTAATGTGGTTACTAAGCCACTTTGACCTTGAGTGAATTCGTACTTCAAAACAAAAGGAGAAAACCTTTCAACAAAGTTGTCGACCTTCTCATAATGTTTACTCTTCATCTCTTGAGGTTTCTTAATGGAATATCCCCATGTCGAATTCATAAGCAATTTGAGTGTCATTGCAAGTTTGGGGTTTGAAGCTTTCCTAATATCATACAGTTGTTGTATGACTTTTCCAACTGTATAGTTCCTTCCCGGGAACTCACCATCTTCGTTTGGAATTCCAGTCGGAATATATTGGACAAACCTCATGTACGCAGCGTTAAGGTCGACATAGTATATCTTTTCATCTGAGTCGAACTTGTCGCAACCAATTGGTCCAGTTTGTGGAAATTCAAGTGAGTCTCTTATCTTCTGCGAAACTTCTCCTGTTATCTCATAAACATCGTCGAAGCAACCTGTTTCATATAAAACCTTCTGACATAACTCAGATGCTCTCCAATACAATTTGACGTCAATTGGATGTCTCAATGGAAGTTTGTTTATAGCATCTTGAAGTTCTTGCAACCTCATTGGAAGTTCTTCTGGTTCAGGTTGGTATCCGAACAAACCAACTCCTTGTGGAACTGTGTACTTCTTTTGTACTAGAACTTTGTCTGGAACAACTTTTGGTCTTGCTAACAGTGAAAAGTTTGTTTCGTCTTTTGGTACAAAAGTTTCTGTCAGCTTGTCATCTGGAATTGGTTCCAACAAACCTTTCTCGAAAAGAATGTTTACAGCTCTGACAATGTTGCACTTGCCTTTTCCGAACAATGGGTTTGAAAGACTTTCGTTCAACATGAAGTGGTTGTGGACAATTACAATCTTCAACCATGGCAAGTCTTTGTCAACAACATAGTCGTCATGTGAAGAACCTTTAGCTGTAGGTATGTTGACTCGGATATTGACATTTGCCAACGGTGCAATTTTTGCCAATTGACCTCTGAGAATGTACCTTGTCTTCACACATGACTCAAGATACTTCATCTTCTCATCTGTAACAAGACCAGAGTTCCTGAGACATGTAAGAATACAAGGTTCATTGACAATTGTTTCAATTGAATTGTAAATTCCATACCTTGTCAAGTCAATGTCAGACTTATTTATGAACGGGAAGTATCCAGCATGTTGTCTGACTGCTTGAGGGTTAGGTTGGTACCATTCGAACTTGACACTTGCAATTCCTTCAATTGCATTCAAAATGTCTGAGTCGGAGTCAACCATTTGTTCTCTCTTTGTAGTCTTGAAAGCGTCAAGAAGTTGTGCGGCTGTTTGTTCATTGCCATGTGCATAGTAAATGTGACCATCCAAATCTGTTATGGTCAATCTGAGATTGTGTCCTTTCTTATTTCCGTCTTGAATTGCAGCAAGTACACCCATGAAGCCTTCTTTGTTCTTTCCTTCGTCAAAGTTTACTGTAAAGGTTCGACCAGATGTAATTTGACTTCTAACTTCACGATACTTTTCATATGCATATCTTGTTCTTTCCATGGGAGCATGTGCGTCTTCACCTTTTCCTTTTTTCCTTCTCAAAGGATGCAATTGTTCGTCATGTTTCCAATAGAATCTGGCAAAGCCGTCCTGTCCTTCAACTTGAGGTTCACTAACATCGAAAGGCATGTCCATAAGACGTTCTTCTTCTAACCTCTCTAGTCTGTTTGGATAATTGGCACGTGCTGTTTCCAAATCCATTTCGTAGCGAAGACCAGACAATTTGTCATAGACTTTTATGGATCTTCCCTTCCTATATTTAAACTTCTTCGAAACTCTCCAACCATATCTTTGCAACTCTGCTTTTATTCTAGCAGACTTTCTATCCATTCTATATGGGGGCATTTTTATAAAAATAAAAAAATATATTTTTTTCTTTACTTAACATAACCGCCTGCTGCCATAAGTCTTTGACGCCAACCCATACCAGCTAATGAAGGTTGACTTGGTTTAGTTTGGAAACTAAACTTTGGTTTTGGTTTATCTTCAGTTTTTGGTTTTTCTTCTTCTATCGGTTTTTCGTCACTTTTCGGTTCCTCTGACTTTACTTCACTTGCAGGAACAGTTGTGTCGTCAACATCTTCATAAATATCATATGCCATTTGTTTTTGTTTTCCTTTCAACTTTTTGTGTTTGTTGTAAAGTTTAGAATATTTCGACTCTAAGTCAATGAGATGTTCTATAATGAACTTTTCAGTGAATATAAACTTTTCCATCTGTTGTCTCGAAAGCTCCTTCAGACTTCAATATTTTATTTGTGAGAGTCTGTTTCTTTTTTGAGATACTAGCCGTTCCATTTCTATGAAAATGACTTTATAGTGTAGAGTTTGTATTTCCAGACCTGGCACTTTCTATTATTGAATTTTCTCTTCATCTGTAAGTTCTTTGACAGGTTTTGACAATGGTTCTGAACTTTTTGTTTGTGGTGTCAAATCTACGGTTTCAACTTCTTCGGTCATTTCATCTCAGTAAAAAATTTTAGTTTGGTTTGTTTTCAACTGGTTGTTGAGGTTTTTGAAGTCGGTCTAAAACTTCCTGAGGTATAGGAAGAACTTTACAAACACGTGGTTTAAATGCTGGAAGCCGACAAATCCATCTTGAACTCATTTGTCTCAATGCTGCATTGTTCATTTCATCTCAATAAAAAGCTTTACATTCCCCACGTTTGAGGCGTTGAGGTTGGTTATTGTTTACCCATTGTTTGCATGGTTATATCCTCTGTTAAAGAATCTTTCACCTTGGTCCATATAATTTCCTGCTTGGTTATAGTATTCATTTGCTTTGTTATAATAATTTCCTGCTTGTCTTCCTACATTGTCCATCCATCCTTGAACTTTTCCTCTTGTTTCAGGATTTGGAATAAGATTTGTTGCATCTCGTGCTACATCCCAACCTTTCTGTACAGTTTGTATAATAGGTTGTGCTTTCTCTTTAAGTATACCTAATGTACTCAAAATCTTCCTTCCAACTCCAAATACACCTCTGGCTATTGTTCCCACTGCGGGTAAAAATATGGATGCAACTCCTGCTAATGCACCAAATAAACCCATTTCTTACAGGGTAAAAAATGACGAATCCAAACAAGGACCCCTATGTTTCTAAAGCGACAAAGAAAGCACTCATGATAAAAATCTTTAGTTCAACACCAAATGCTTGGTTTATGGATATCTTGGAAAACATTCCGAGAGTTAGAACAGATGGACCACCATACTGGTTAATATTTGTTGTCAAAACACAAGATACTGTGAAGCCATACCATTATGGTCCAAAAATATTTTAGATGTGAAAACTGCTTTGACAATATTCGTTGACAAATACCATCCAACAAAACTAACATCTGACTGTGAAAGTTCTTTCAAATCAGATGATGTAAAAAACTATCTGCGTTCAAAAAATGTAAACCAATATTTCATTGTCGACCAAAACCATTCTGCTCTTGGTGTCATTGACGGATGTATAAAAATGTTAAGAGACTTAAACCAACCACAAGGTGGTGAAGCAAATGAAATGTCATATGACGACAAATATAGACACTTCTCCATGGCAAAGATGAGACAAGTTTTAAATATTTACAATAACCGTAAACAAAAAGGTTTGGGAAACCACTCCCCCGAAGAAATGAAAAACAACCCTGACTTAGAGAAAGACTATATATTTAATAATTTAGTCAAAAAAGACAAACAAGAAAGAATGCCGGGCTTCAAACTTCAGAAAGGTGACAAAGTAAAAATAGAAATACCCAAACGCGACCCATATGAAAATACTATTGACTATGACAACAATGGGAACCCGACAGGTACTCACATTCGTGTTCGTAAAAATAGAAGAAAGTATACAAGAGAATATTATGAAGTTTTAGGCAAACATGGCAAAATGTACACACTGCAAGCAGAAGATAAAACTACTATTGTCAGACCTCGTTTCAAACTTGTCAAAGTTCAAGGTGGTATACTTTCAAAGACAGTTCCTAACAAATATAAGACAACTCCAGACGAATATGCTAAAGAAGTTGAAAATGACGACTAAGCAATTCTATACCATGCGTAAACTGTCATGTAAGGTGGCATGTATTCTTTACTTTGTCCCGTTGTTTGCGTATATCCTGAAACGTGATGTGTATGGTTTCCTCCTCCCTCAGTGTTACTCCAGTAACAATTTATAGCAAACTTAACGTCGTCTTTAACATCATATCCTTTACCTTTTGTCATTCCTGACCAACCCCAATATCTATGCCTATGCCAACCTTCTTGAGATGTACTTAAATTTATGTAATGACTGTGTGCAGGTAAATTTGCACTTGAAATCGTTTTACTTCCACCTGTTTCCTTTGAAGAGTTTGCACAATACAAAAACCTGTCGACTATTTGTTCCCATGCACCAACACCAAACATTACTTGAGGACCTCTTGCATCCATAGATGTATAAATAGAACCTACCGGGTTCATTAAATCAAACATATGAGATATTATAGGATTGTCCCTTTTGAACTTAAAATATAGT